TGGATTAGTTCAATTGTTGGATTACTTTGAATTAGTAACTGATAATTTGGAATTTAAAAAAGTGCGATAGAAGATTGGAGGGAGGGTTTAATTTGAAAATAGAATTGACAAAAATTATTGGGGTAAATCGAACTTAAATACATATTATAGCCAAAGTAACAATTAAAGTGACAATTACTCATTCTGATCAATTCAGCTCAAAGGTTACAATAGAGAAGACACCGAATTCTGATTTCATTGGCTATCTCTCCGCTAATGTTCATAATCTTTATTAATATTGCACTTCTTTTTTGGCGATATTTAAAGCATAATAATTGCATTATAAGTGTTATCAATATGGAAAGTTAATTAATTAAGACTGATGAGATAGTTGAAGAAAATCTGAGATAGAAGTGAAGGAATTATTGCAGTAAAGGATTGGGAAATTATGATTATTATATATTTTTTTAAACAAATGGCATTTTTTTTCCTTCTTTTTTTCATCATTTTAATTTCTCAATATTTTCTTCAAGTACAGTTTTTTTAATAATTATATTACCGATGCTAATTTTATCATATAATTTATATCAAAAAATATGTGCTACTTAATGACATTACTCAGTTTTAAATTTGCTAAAAAAGAATTAATTTTAAAATATCCTCTTTTTTCCTTTGAACCATTTTTTTTTCATAGAGAAATAAAAACTTTGAAATGAAATATAACAATAAGCAAAGAATTTCGAATGTTAAATAACATTTGAATTTGAAGTGCCTGAAATTTTCAGTATCATTTTGAGGATTAATTTTTTTATATCAAAAATTCTTATTAAAAAATGCATACTAACTCAATAGCAGTGACATCATTGATTGTCATTTCCATCTTTCTTATATCAATAAATATCGTAACATTGCAATCCTCATCATCATCATCATCATTATCATTGTCATCACAGTCATAATCATCGACATAATTATCATCATCATTATCCTCATTATCATTACAGTCATCATTTTCACTGGTAATTTCTCACTATCGTAACTATCACGAGAATTAATAGAATTTTTGTCATTATTACGATTAAATTACTGCTGCAATCATAATCATCATCTTTATCATAGATCATTATTCTTATTTTAAACCAATTCTTTTGTTATATTAGTTGAAATATAAATTATTTCATATTTTGTTATAAATCTCTGTATTACTTCAACAGTATTACTAAAATAAGAAATGAAATTTGTTCAACTTTTTTAATTTCTTTTTTTTCTTTTGAAAATTTTCTCAATAATTCTTCCAGAAAAAGTATACTGGCATAAATCATTATTAAATTCATTTAAAAATTCGTTTCAAAAAAAGCTCAGTGTTTTAAACAATATAACAAAGTAATAATTTCTGTAATTAAAAAGGTTCATGTTTATGGATTTTTTTAATTGAATCCTAAACTGATCATTTGGTCGAGCTAAATTGACAATTTGAAAATAATTGAGAAAGAAAAAAACTGACTTCCAACCTTGGCTTTTTGAAAAATGATACTGAATATTTCACGTTTCAAACATGTTTTCGATAAGGGTACATCTTTGTTGTTCTTCAGTATTGTTCACAATTCATTCGACTTAGTCTTCAAGAATTGCCCATAAATTATTTTCAATCATTTTACATCATACATACCCACCTTTTATCCCATGTAAAAAATTCTCTCTAACTATTTTTTCTTCTGAATTTTAATCATATGGGTATGTTAATTTTTTTTTAGGAGCAGCATTGAAATTAGCAATTATAATTTTCTACACCATCATGCTAATCTATTTTCAAATAGTTTTTTATGCACCTAAAATTAAATTTAAATTTTCAAATAGCATTGCTTTATTTTGCGTATATAATAGAATTTGGCATGACTAATTTCTTCCGCAAACTTATTTCCGCTTTTTAATCTTCAACTTCTATCACTGTCTTCCTGGATGAATGGCTAACTGTTGAATAATCATTTTCCTTCTCATCAGTAGCATTCGGTGTTACTGACACATACAATCATAACTGCGCTGGGATAGGATAGGTGATATGTTTAGCTTAACAAATTTCACTTTTCTTTTCATTTACTTATTTTTTTTCAAATGAATGTAATCAAATGTTAAAAATAGGTGACAGGTGAAGTAAACTTTTTTCTCAATCTTAATGAGAAAAAAAGAAAAAAGTTAAAGATTGTTGTATTTTTTCACACTGTTCTGGCATTTTCAAAGATATTTCTTTCTGCTTTTTTTTTCCTTAAATATTTCATTTAATTACAATAATTTTCATTAGCGCCTTATCAAGTTTTTTCACAGTTCACATGACATTCACCAAATTTGATGGACAGTTTTGTCATTTATGAAAAGATTGTGAATTATTTCTTTACACCATTACTCTCTCATCATGTTTTGCTTTCTCTTTATTTTTATCAGTGATTATATTTCCTTTCTCTTATCAAATTATTAACTTTAAACCAGTATTACCAAGTATCTGTCACGCAATTTTTCATGAAATCAAAAAAAGTTTACTTAATTAAATTAGGCAATGAAGCGAACTTTTCTGATATAATATTTGCTTTGATATTAGACTGATAGAATTACAAGCTTATCGTATTTTTAGATATCATTATTTCATGTAATTGTTTAACTCGTAGATAATTCTTAAAATATTGCTTATTTAAAAGTATGAATTATTTTTAGCAATATCTTTTGTGATAGTTTAAACTCTGATAAACTGATATTTCTTGCATTTTCACTTCTCTTCTTCACATTTTCTATCCAAACGTTTCCTTCTTAAGCATTACACATTTTTAACTATTTCCATTTTAAATTCTATTTCTACTTTTTTAAATTTTATGGACAAATTTTTTGTTTGAAACATTTCGATTGATATCTGAAAAATATTTTATTTCCAGGCTACATCGATATTGTAGTTTTGATTACTGTCGTCGATTTTAGAGTGCATACTTCAAAATACTTTTCTCTTCTTCAAAAAAATCAAAATAAAAATAAAAATTAGGGAATAAAAAAGTAATCATATATGTTGTGCCACTGATTTCATCAACAGTGGTGGCAAAAAAAAAAAAACGAAAAACGACAAACATCAAAGTAAAAATCAACAAATAAAAAGGAGGAAGAAAAAAATAGGAAATATTAAAAAACTGTTTATTTGGTGTTTGAAGAAATAAAGAAATTTACAAAAAATAACGAGACAAACTCTGAGATATATGTCCTCCATCACGTACATTTATGCAAACTGGCACCTGGCTAACAGCGATAATGACTTCGCTTCTTGTCATTATTGATAATCAGTATTGCCTTTCACATACTATTGATACTAATACTGGTACAATTACTGTTACTAATATCAATATACCGTCTGCCATTATCAATGATGAACAGAAAGCAGGTACATCACATGATTATAACGGTATGTTTTTTAATATAATTCATAACTTAATTTGAGAGGAATAAATGAGTATGATAATTTTAGAAAAGGAAAATGATTTCTCCAGTATTAAAAGAGTTAAAAAGGGTCAATTCACTTATTAGGACAATCATTCTTTTCGAGATAAATAGCCGATATTGATAATCAAATGGGACATTTTTGATTATCAAATGCCGAAATATGTCAAGTGATAATTGCATTGATTATAATCTGAGTTGCATTCATAAATCCAATACTATTAAAATGCAAAATAATTCCTCATTCCTGATCTTTTTTTTGTTTCCATTTTTTTTTCACATAAAAGGTAAATAAATGAATAATGACAAAACAACTTTTTAAAATATAATTAAAATTTGATTTAAAAAAATTCACAGGGCTTTCTGCGTACAATCGTTTGAGACATTCGGAACGACAACGACGTCGATACAAGCAAATGTTGCAGCAAAAACAAAAGCAACCGCTACAAATATACCGTTCCGATGGTAGCAATATTGACAATAAATTCTTCGATAATCTACGAAGACCGCTGAGTGCCAACAATAACAACAACAATAACAGTAATAATAATGGTGTAATAAGGAATAAATTGAAAGCTCACCATAGAGTAAGAATTTTTGTCTTTAAGTCAAAAGTATTAAAATCATAATAAATGCAATCGAATGATTGTATTTATTATGATTTTAAATCACCAATTTTTTTTTTGCCTGCGCATTAAAAAAAAATTGATTAAAGCAATGAGGGATAATAATTGGTATCAATTATTAAAATAGCAAAGAAAAAAGAAAAATAACCTAATTATTTTTCAATCAGGAAAGCTACAAGGAATAAATAGAAAACTTCCCCGTTTTTTTAATCCAAAATAATTTTTTTAATTTACTTTATTTTTTCAACAAAATTTTATCATCAAAAGTATTCCCGTTATTTCAACATAACATTATTACAAAAAAAAAATTTTTTTTTTTTAAATTTAACACCAGCAGTTGCAAACAAATTCCCATTTCTCATAATCATTTTCGCAAAAAAATTTTTTTTAGCTAACAAATATTTAACGGTTTGTTTCTATTCATCTCGCACTACCAGTCCTATTTGTCACTATTAACATTCACATTGTTACTTTTTTCCATTCTTTTCCTATTTATCAAATATTTTAAAAATAATATATTATAAAAAGAGAAGCGTATCAAATGGGAAAATTGGACAATTTTTAAATTTTTTAGTTTTGATTTTTTTAAAGAAAAACATTGGACGATTTCTCACACTTTTTCTCATTTTTATCATTAAAAAAAAGAAGTGAAAGAAATAAAAAAATTTTTCGTTGCAATTTTTTGAGAATACAATAAATGTAACAGTAACTGACATCATTGCATTGTTCAAATTTGTGAAAAAGAAATATTTTAGTAAAAAAAAACTGGAAGAAGGAAAGAAAAGGATTAAATTAACAAAAGAAGTGTTATCTCGGAAAATTTTTGCTTCAAATCAAAAAATAGGCTATTGTGTATTTTGTAGCTTTTAAGAAGAGATCAATAATTAAGAAAAAGGAACGAACATTTTTTTACGCAACTGAAAAGATGTGTTCAATCATTACTAATTCAATTCTCGAGAAAATTTTTAAATCAAATTTGATTTTTAATCATTCTTTGTTTAGAAGAAATGAAAAAAATGACCTTGATGAAAAGGTTCCTATTGAGTAGATCAATAATGAGAATTTACTTTTATTCTCACAATCAAATTACCTGTGAAAATTTAATATAAAAAGTTATTCCATTTGCAGTATGCTAATAGGTTTCATCAAGTTTACTATGTTTGAAATGCTTTTTGAACGAATTTTCGGAATCCATCCCTATTTAGTAATATTATCCCTATTTAGTAATATTATCTTTACTTGTTGATATCAGCGAGTACAAAACAAATTTGTTTAAAATTTATATTTTGAATTGATTACTAGCCTAAACATTTAATATTAAAATAAGTAGCATTTGTAAAAAACAAATTTTTTATTGCTTTTAATATTTACTTTCATAAATAGAAGCACCTCATTTTTTAATTGAAGTCAGAAAATAAAAATCCAAATTT